GTCCAGGAGCGCACAGTTGTTCCTGTCCCACCCTTCCCATGTCATTCCTTGGTGCCCCCTCTTCCTTGTGTCTCCAGGGGGGACAGTGAGGAGTGCTCGGCACGGGGCTGTCTTCAGCTTGTCCTGTGTGGGGAAGGAGACAACCTGCCACTGCTGGAGAGCTGTGGCAGGCAGCCTACGAGTGCCCTGGGCCCACGGGAAGGGGGGTGGAGGGGGGACAGAGGACGGCAGCGGGGGGGTGGTGATGCTGGACGAAGGTTACTCTGTGTTTTAATATTGCCAGGAGAATGCCTGAGGGTTTCAGGAATGCAGATAAGGAGCCACACGGCCTTGCTAAGAAACCTGGCCACCAGCCTCAACACTGGTTACAGCCCAAGGGAACTCCTGGGGGAGGCAGGGGGAGCTGGGGCTGCCTCGGCGGCTGCCGCCCCCCCCAACTGGCAGGTGGGTGAGCGTGGCATGGCCATGGTTGGAGGTGGTGAGCGAGGCTCTGGCTGTGGATTCTGGCTGAGATGTTGGTAACAATATGAAGAAGCCAGGAAGTGGCTTAGGTGCTGGCTTGACAACTTGGTAACCCCGCATGCCCCAGGGGCAGCTTCCTGAGCACAGGGGTCCGTGGCCCAGGATGAGGCTCAGGCTGGGGGCTGCTGCAGACGGCTCCAAGGTTCCCCTGCGAGGCAGCACAGACCTTAGAGCATTGCACAGGTTTTGCTTGCTGGTCACTAGGGCTCCAGGGCTGGGCTGGAGCCAGCATCCCCAGGGGAACAGCCTCGTGCCCAAGGATGGTGAGGTAGTGGTGAGCTCGGCTGGTCTGCCCTCTGAGGAAGTGGAGGCATCACATTGCTTAGAAGCAGGAGTGCTCCTTACCTGTGTTTACTCCTGACAGTGCTGCCACTGTCTGCCCTCCCCAGGTGATGTTCCCAGTGGCACCGCAGAAGACGAAGGGCTCTGCATCCCACCTGCTAGCCCCGCACTTCTTGTCCTACAGTCTTGTGGGCAGGGGCTGCAGGAAGCTCCCTGGCATAATTTTGGGTTTCTCACACTCTCCTAGGTTCTCCTGGGCTTGGCCAGTAGCCCCTGGCTATGGGAGATGTCCCAAGGCATGGGAGCTCTGGCTCCATCATGCCTGTGTTCAGCCAGAAGCTGGGAAAGGCCATTGACCCAACTGCCTCTCCCTTCCCCCAGTGTGCTAGCTTTTACTGCCGTTGACTCACTTCAAACCTGTTTTCTTTCCCCAAGTCCAAGGGTCTGGGTGTCCCATGCAGCCGGAAGATGCCTCCTACCTTGGGGCGGGGGGGAGTTCTACTCTCTGCCCACCTTCCTTTATCGTTTCATCTTCCTCAAGAATTCCAGTGTGTTTGCTCTCGCTGGTCCCACTCGGAGGTGCTGAGATAAGGCTGGAGGCAGAGCCCGCCTCACCTCTCCCCAGCAGCCTGGCCCAGGAATGTCCCCAGTCCCCTGCCCCCACAGAGTCCCAGTCCTGAGCCCCTCCCTACCCCCGGCTGTCCCCCCTTGCAGCCAGCGTAGGACTAACTGGTGTGGAGACACGACATCCTGGTGGTGGGATCCAGGTTAGGAGAGACCTCACCTGGGTGGGAGATGCTGGGGGCCTCCCGGCTGTGGCCAAGCACATTCCCCCCCATAAACCCAGCAGCCTCTGTGCAGAGGCTCTGGTCACACCTGAGCGAACTCTGCACCTCCCTGCAATGGCCCCAGGGTCCCTACAGGGTCTGGGTCCTGTCTTGGATCTGGGCACACTTGTAGCATTACCTGGGCATGAGCATGGTGTGAGTCATGTCCATCAGCAGGAGCACATCTCCACTCAGACCCAGCATCCCTGCCTTTACGTGCTGCTCTGGAGGGTCTGGAGGCTCCTGTCCCCAGCTAGCTGTGCATGGGCTGAGGGAGAGACATGTCCTGCAGCGGGACAGTGCAAAGCCACTGAGCTCAGCATGATGTGATAGGTCCAGGGGTCTGGCTACCTGTGACACTGCAGGGACAGGCTGTGCCCCCACTTCTCACCGTGTCACCCCACACACGCCTCTCCTCAAGCTCTGCGGTGTGTCTGCCTCGGGGCTCAGCCTTGCTCTCCACCTGGCCGGGCCCAGGAGCAGTGTTGGGGTGACAGCGGCCGCAAGGCAGCTGAGCTGAGCTCAGACATCCTGTCCCCAGCCCCATAGCTCCCCTGGGCCCCAAGTGCCTCCTGGGGCAGAGGACTCTGGTGTCACTCCCTCATCTTCCCTGTCAGCTACTGAGCTCAGCAGGAGGGGCTCATCCCAAGAAGAAAGGCTGCCCGCTCCTGCTCCCCGGAGATGCTTGGAGAGCCTCCCGGGCAGGCTTGGCGGGATGCGGACGGGCTGTCCCCGCGCGCCCGGGAGCACGGGGACAGCCGCATGCAGCCCGCCCGCCTGCTTCCCGCCCGCGCCCTGACACCTGCTGGCCACCGCGGGCACAG